CTTGAATCAGTTTTTCATTCAATTCTTTTGATAATGTCTTTAACCTTTTCAGGTTTGATTTTAATTTAGTTTCTTCATTTAATATTGGAAAATGTTTTGACGCTTTTTCCATGTAAAAATTGAGTTTGAAAGTTGATTACTCGATAATCGAGATTGAACAAATTCCTTTGGTTATTACATGATTTAAACAGCTTCTCATGAGACAGATAAACTTTGAGGTTTTTGTAACGAATCAAAGATCTTTTCTTTTCTTCCCTGAATTGAATCACTGATTCAACCATGAACACACATAATGTAGATGATATTGTAAGGAGTGAAAGATGATGATGGTGACTCTGATGATGAAGAGAAAAGAAAAGCGTGAGAAGAGAAAAGAAAGTTGAATGGATGATAAAAACCAATAGTAACAATAATTCATGCTGAGTAAGAGTAAAAATCTTTCAAATGGTTGACTCTTCTCGACTATCTGACTCGACTAACCATACTTTTAACAATCAATGAAACAATCAATCATAACCATGTTTTTTCTTTGTTTTTGTTTCTTTTTTGTCTCTCTCCTCAAATTACAAGTCTAGATTTAAACAAGCGTAAAAGTCACTAACAATTATCATCATTAAATCAGTGAATCCATAATCATGTACTTTTGTCACAAAACGCAATCATCTGAGATCGATTTACAAATCATGATGAAAATTCCAAAATTCAATTTTTACGTTTTCTAAACCTTTCATTTCCAAAGACTTATTCATCAACAAAATGAAACATTTATACCAAATGGTACTTTTGGAATCAACATCAGTCCAACAAAGATAAATAGATTTCGATGTTTAATCAAGAAAATGTTCAAAGTTTAAACTTCGAAATTCGAGTTTGGAAATTCCAAGTTTAGCAGTTTCTGCATTTGAATTCAGCTTTGAACTATCGACCATTTGTTCAGACTGAAGTGTGCGAAATTGATTTTCGTAAACTTGGACTTTTAGGATTTAACCTTTTTCTTGCAACTTGTTCATAAACTCAATTGTCTTAATCATTATGTTCAGCACGAAAGTCAACCATGTAAGAGCGAATAGTTTTGTTCATAGTTACATGATTTTTTCTTCGGTGAAATTCAATATTTTTCACATTTCCATTGCACTAAATAAAATGAACTTTTCTTTTTGCAATTTAAGTTTTTAAAATTCTGCTGAAGATTCTTCAAGATTTACTGTGATCATGTAATTCATCAAATGGCTTGTTACAACAGAATTTTTTTGTTTCTGCCAAATCAGTTGAACAAGATTTCTCGTCTAATCTCTCATGAGTTTCAGTCTAAATCACAATTCTTTATCCACTTTCTTGGCTCTTTTATCCTCCAATGGCAACACTGATTATTAGCTTTTATTGAAATAATTTGCTTGATTAACATTCTTCACCAGTTTCATCCATTTCCATGAACCATTTTACTCGGCATTTTCCGACAAAAATCCTTCAAATCCAAACATGATCTGTAAGTTTGCCATTTCCGGAGGTTAAGTAACAGATAAACCGTTTATTCTGATTAACAGAAAAGTTAAATGTTTTCATTGGGAAACAAATATTCAGCTAAATCGATTGAATGGCGAAAAAAAGAAGAATCTTTTTTTTCTTCTTCTTTTTACACAAAGAAAGTGCAGAATGAGCATTTTCACGTAAACAGAATCAATTCAATCTCGATAAAGTGATCTTTTCATTATTGCTAGTTTTCATGATTCACTCGATAGTTTTGCCTTTAATCAGCAAAAGTTTGAATATAAATCTGAATTACATTATGAATAACTAAACTGAGAGCAAGAAGTTTTCATGATAAATTATAAGGAACATGACACTTACCTTTTTGTTATTCCAGCAACTTTCTTCAACCGAATTCCAGATAACATAATTAACAATTTTACTCTAAAAAGTCATCTACGTGATCATTATTATCAATGAATTCATCTGAATGTAAATTCCTTCCTTCATTTAATAACATTACATATAATATTCATTCCCAGTGAAGAAGAAAAAAGTTGAAAAAAAACAAATTTTGTTCACTTTTTTGCACAACCTCAATGTTAATAATGAAAATAATATTTACTCGAAGAAAAAAAACAGAGAAGAACTTTTTTCTTCATGGAAAAAGATCAATGAAAACTAATAAGCCATCTGAGTAAATAAGAAACATTACTTCTGATAAGCTTCAAGTATTCTTATCTGAATAGAGCAATATTTTGTTTCCAAGTTATTACAATTTTCTCATCGTTTTCATATTGATTGCTTTGGATAATGCGCTTGAAAAGGAGAAGAACTAAAAAAATATTGTTCTCAACTATCTGTTGAAGTTCTCAATGAAACATGCAGAACTTTGAATATCCACAGAATTGCGATTCCTTGGAGATTTGACCAATTTTCACATTCAAATGTAAATAATTTCAAATGTCGACTGAATATTGTTTCTTCACTCCCAGCAACTAATCATCATTATCAATTTTTGCTTGAAATTTCGATTAAATTTTCTTCTTTCCAGGAACTAAACTGAAAAGCTCTGCTTGATGGCTTCATGAAATGCTGTAAAAGTACAAATGCCAATATTCATCAGTCTTTATTAAACTTTTAATTAACCGAAGAAAATAATTTCTCGATGAAATTGATTAACTTGCAGAGCTTTTAAACAATGTAATCCCAAGCTTAAGGTTAATTGTATCATATTTCATGAAGAAGAAGAAAAAAATGAAACAAAAAATTCTTAATTTCATTTATTAAAGATTCCAAAAGAACAACAGTTTTTTTCTTTATTCTGTAATATTAACAGGTAACTCAGGGAAGCTCAAACGACTAACTAATTTGAGAAGAGCTTTTAGCAACTTTTTTCTTCCTCAAAACTCATTATCATGGATTCATCGTGCATTGAATACATATCATGGAACATAACGAACATTGAAAAGTGGAAAAAAAACATTTACCTTGTAATTTTTGCCTTTAAACTGTTTTAAATTATTCCATGATAATTTGACTCATTTCAATCTTTTGTTGAAATAATAATCTTAATAATCTGTTCAATTTTTCTTCTTAATGAAATTCTTGGACTATAAATGCTGGAATATCGAGTTGTTTGAATTATCATTTTTGTTCTTTTGGAACAACTTGCAATTCTGCTTCTCAATTCAATTGGTAAAGTTTGGGTGAAATGGAAATTGGTTTAGATAACTTTGAAGATGTTTTTTTCCTTCTTCTCAAAGTTAATAAAGAAATGCTTTTTGATAAGCACTCGAGGCTCAAAGTCACAATATCTTTTGTAAACAACATCATCAATTTGAAATGATGTTTATAAAAATAACTTTTACTCTCATATATTTCAACTTAAACTGTTTTAATACTTTTTTTAGCTCTTAACCAATCGCTTATTTTTCATTTTATCATTTTTTTCTGCACTTTTTCCTCTTATCCAGAGTCAATAATCGTCAGTGAATGTCATATTTAAATGCTTTGCATTCTTGCTCAAGTTTCAAGTATTGATAATTGCAATACTGACCATGGAAAATGGATCATTGAAGAAATAATTTATCAACTCAGTTTGAACATTCAATATTGCATGTGCATTTTTTAACCGAAAAAACTTTGTAAAAGTTGAATGAAATAGGTTCATGGTAACGAAAAAAATATTTTATCTCTGGTTAGTTTGATGCTGCTTTTTATTCGCGTTTGTTTCAAGTTACTTTCAAGTTTGGCGCTCTTTGAAATTGACAGTCAAAGTTGACCTGAAGTTACAATTATCTGAATATGCTTGTGTTACAGTAAATATGATCGTTTGATAATCATGAATCAAAGGTCGTCAATGATGAAGTTCGAGGTATAAAATTTCAACTTTTGTCGACCTTTTATTCATATATTTTGAGTTTATCATTTAGACTTGAGGTCTTTTGGTTCAGCTTTTGGGTCTTTACCGATGTAGTTTGACATGAGCATGAAACTAGACATTTCTTGTAGATAATCAATTTTGAATATAATTCTGTGGAATAGGATTAACTCAATTAGTCTGAGAAAAGGATTTGTATTTGATTTATATAAAGTTTAGGGAAAAGTGATTAGGTTTATCTGACAATTCTCATGTCGAAATCAAGACTACTTAAACAGAATTAATGTCAAATGAATTAACGCTGAGTACTTGGATGAATGTAACGAAAAAATTGAAAGGGAAATAATTTTCAGGTCATTTCGAATCAAGCAAGTTCATCCCAATATGTAACAATTTATTGCGCAGAGATGCAAAACCTTATAAACAGTTATCGTTCATCAAACCAAGTTTCAAGAGCGATAAATAGTGAAAATGGAAAGTGAACCATTGGAATATGGAATTTGAAGACAGCAGAATTTTAAAAAATAATCTTTGAGCATTGACTTTAAAGAGAATCATAAATGTTCTTTATAGATTGCAAGCTGTTCAGTTACTTTTCATGTTATACCACGATTTTGAATGGAAACTGATAACTAATGTAACTCTTTGTTTGATTTGATTCATTGATGTAGAGAAATGTTGAGGAAAGTTTCAACTTATTGTTAAGCCAAGTAAGAAACTGGTCAGTTGATTAAAGTTGATTTAATTTATCACTTAACAATACCTACAACCCTTCGATTCAGGGTTACATCAAAATCAAATTACTAAAAATAAGTAAGAATGAAAATCAAGTTAAACTTGATAAACTTTTTTCCAGTTTCAACGGTTGGTTACACTTGAAGCCACACAACCAAATGCTACTAACCATTGAATCATTTTCGTGGTTCCTCCATCAAACCCTAAATTTGCAATCAAACCAAATGCAGCACCAAAACCCACTTAAGCTGAAAAAAGTACATTTCTTTTAATTACTTCAATCAATAAAATGCAACCAAATGCTTGAACAATAATCACAACAAAGAATATTGAAATTATCTGTAAAACTAAAAATAAAAACTCGACTTTCGATTGAATTTTGATCTAAAATAATTTCTTTTTCTTCCTTAACCAGATATGATTGACTGTTTGAAAATAAAAAGTATTTATGTGCCCAAAGCGATAACAATCGGCGAATCAGCTTGGTTAAACTGTTCATATGAATTGGAAAATGATAATCTCTATTCAATAATATGGTTCAAGGCAAATCTTCATGATATTAATTTAAAAGACAAGAAACAGTTTTATCGTTATGTTCACAATCAGGATCCACCAGCAAGTACATATGAAACTCCTGGAGTTTATATTGATGTAAGTCTTGTTTTTTCTTGTTGTTTTCCGTCTCTTCATTACTTTCACCAAATCCATTAATGAAGGTATCATTAGTCCTATTACGAGGAAACATTATTATTACCATTTTATCATTATAATTGTTATAATTATCCTGTTATTATTACCATCATCATTAGCCAATTAACAGCTTATGTCCTATGTGTTTCAGCTTATTACACGCACAATAATGATGAATGATAATCAAACAGATAAAGTACGCCAAAGAGAGTAAAAAATATATTCACAAATAACAATTAACATTATTATCTTTTCCTTTGTTTGTTTAGGTCAGAGAAAGTTTATCAACTTAATTAACCTTACATTGTTCAATGATGAACAAAAAACAATAAAAAACTCGTTAATTCAACTCTTTTATTCCATTTTGTCATAATCAGAAAAAGTGTCTAAAATCAGTTTCATCACGGAACAATTTAACACTAAATTGAGTAAAAGTTTATCGTTCAAATTTGCAAATGAAAAGATTCAAAAATCATTAACAGATTTTTCCAAGTTTATCAAATCATGTTTCTAAAATCTGAAAATTCTTAAAATTGAACTTTTCTTAGCATCTAATTTGGTGAAAATAAGAGTTGAAATCAGTGAAAACAATTTAGAACTATTTAGCTCGTAAAAGTAAATAACTTTTTTGTCTAAAAGTTTTCAGCATTTAAAGTCAGAAATCATAATTCAGAAAGTTTGAAAATCTTTTGACTTTTCTTAAGCACACAACCCAAATTAGAGTAAAATCAGTCAGAACAATTTAGCACTAAAATAAGAAGAAGTTCAGAAAAAGAGAAATCAGAAAAGTTTCCAAAATCATCTTAAACTTACAGATTTTTGCAAATTTTTGTTAAATTTTATTCCAATATAAATATTGAAAATATTGAAATTTAACTTTTCTAAAGCATTCAATTCAGGTAAAAATAAGAGTTAAATCAGTAAGAGCTTTGCGAAGTGAATCATTTTATCATTGAAAGAAAAAGTGGATTGATAAGTTTTCTGAATCACCTTTGTTGATTTGCCGGTGAGTTCAAAAATCCCAAATTGAACTTTTCTTGAGCATTCAGGTGCGGATACGATTCGGTTTAGATTTAAAATACTTAAGCAAAGTTGAATTTTGATGAAAAACATTGACTAGTTTATCAAAGCATCAACAGTTTTAATTGACAGCAGAAGCAAGTTGAAACATTAAGTTTACAATCAGGTAATCAATCCAAATGGCTTCCTTTTTCATATTTAAATTGTAACATAAAGAAGGTGAGTTTTTTGCTTCTAAAAAAGGCTAAGATAATAAACCATTAGCTCATTTTATTATGGCAATAATAATAACAATCATTATTATGGTAAACTAATGATATATATTCACATTTTGTGCACAAGAAAATTATCTAAAGGTTACTGGGAGTGAAGATTATTTTATGCCAAACAAAATGGAATGCATGGTGAAAAAAAAGAGAAAAGTTTGCAAATTATTCTTCTCTAGTTCAACGAGAAATGCACAATAAAATGGTTTAAATGTTTTTTTCAAGTTGTCCAAGACTGGGAGTTGAAAAGTCTAAAGAGACTGAAGAGAACAATTTTGTTGCTGGAAAAAAGTGATTTATCGCAAAAGTAAACATAATAATAGACAAAGATTGACATTGAATAGTGATTAATGAACTTTTTGGGAAACGGGAAAACCAGATTTAAAGATGGACACAAGGTGAAAAGTGCTGAAGATGCACAAGTTATGAGGAAATGGTCAAAGAAAGTAAAGAAAGTAAAAAGTAATTTGTGTATGTGACAATCTATACAATATATAAAGTCAAACTATGAAATTTTTGCGGGAAGATTGTGACCAAACTAAAAGGATTCTAAAGAAAATTTTCACATCGAATGAAAGCCCTGATTGAACTTCAATTACGAAAAATAGTCAGAGCTTTCTCGGAATTCAGGTTACTGAGAAATCAGCGTTTAAACAGGGTGGGGGAAAAAATGCAGAATCCGTATCTTTTACTATTGACTTTGGGGGAAAAACTTTTTTTCATTCAGATTGATGGTTTATTGTTGGGCTAGGAGTTTATGTAAAACTGTCTTTCTAGCAAAGAGTAAGTTAAATATCTGGTGCTCTGTAACTGTGTAACTGTACAACTCTCAAGATCAACGAAAATTCTTTAGTTTTTCTCTTTGACAATGATTTTTCATCAACAGTTCGAGTCTTTAAATGTGGATTGAATTTATTGTATTCAGTGAAAAGAAATTTACGATCAGCCATGATCGGGGGCTCAGCTTGTAATATGTAATGTTTAATATAAAGAAGATGAGAAAAGAAATGACCTTTTCTTTTCTTCTTTTCTGGTCAACAGTAACAATGTTTCAAATGAAAAAAAAAACTGTTTGACTCAAGTGTAAAGGTAAAGAGCATTAACGTGACCATCAACAACATTTTGAATTATTGTACACAAAATGCAATTCATATTGAATATTTTTCCCTTTAAACGGCAAAACAAGTGGAACAAGTGAAAGCAAAGTAAATCACTATTATTCTTGTTTCTCATTTTCTCTCTTTTCGCCGTTTCTTTTTCCATTTTCATGATGACATGGTGACATTTGGAATTTATGATGGACAACCTTCGATTCGAATTTTGAACCAAAAGGAAACCAAATCAACTCGAGGAAGTGTTTATTTGTACAAAAGTGATCTTACCACTGAAGGAAAATACATCTGTGAAGTAATTGCCGATTCACCTTCATTTCAAACAGTTACTCGAACTGACGACATGAGAGTTCATTGTAAGTAAATTTTACTTTTAAATTCAGTCGATATTTCAGGTCCAGTTTAGAAGGTTATTTCAGTTGCACTTTTTGACGCTCTTCTTGCGATTCCAAATTGGTTACATCAATAACTTGTGATGGCCTTTTACTAAAGAGCAACTTGAATGCTGTAAATGCTCCTTGGTGTATTATTGATCTTCTTAAAGCTCATAAATTTCATGGTATTTATTCTTGTTATATTAATGGTGGAAACGATTAAACAATGAAATGTGAAAAGGTCAAGATCCCCATTAACTGTATTGTGTCTCATTACAAGTAATTGATGAATGTATGGTTTGTCCAACATTGCTCATTAATAATCACTTACCTTGTAAAACTCATTGCACTGAAAATCATTGCTAAGTTTTGTATAAATGATCAACATTGTGATAGACTTTTTTTTCAACAAATTGATGACAAAATGTATTTGCAATCGATTTCGTCCCTTGAGTTTCCGAATCAATTATCGGTGGTTTCATTTGCATATCAGTCAACATTCACAACAAATTTCATTCCAAATCCCAACGTCATTATATTCATCTCACTTTTGATTGCAAGTTTTATCCATTTTTAGGACAATCAAATGAGAAATAAATTAAGAATAATAAAAGAAAAATTACTAATCATTCGGAAAAAGTAAATTCCTCTTGAACTTTCTTTTTAATCGAGTTTCGGTGGATTGAGATCGATCTTGTGAAGGATTAAACTGAACTGAAATAGCATTTTATAATTGCCTGAAGAAATGAAAGGAAATTACTTGAAGTAGTTTAATTGAAAATAAATTGATTTTCCAGTTTCTCTTGACCGAAACGGTGAGATTGATACAGAAATTTTTATTGATAAAAAATGTGTATTCGAGATTAATCTCATTTTCTTCGAATCTATGAATCTTAATTAGCACCAATGAATCAAGCGAATTTGCTGACCAGAAGTTAGGCTTTGGTGAAAATATTAAATCACTGAAACTCTCAAGGATTAACAAAAGACCATCAAAAAGTGAAACGTCTTTTCTTTCTATTTCCGATTTTCTTACTTGCTCATTTCCTGAGAAGACAGTTTTCTCATCGTCAGATATCATCATTCAAAGTAAAGTTGCCATTCGATGAAAACATTTCATCAATCATAATCACCATCATTCCATCGATTATCAAAAAGAATTGAACCAATAGAATAATGAAAGGCGAAAAAATGACTAAAAATATCATCCCAATCATGTTACCTGAACTCAATCGAAGCTCTTTAAATATCTTAAAAATTGATATTCCAATTTGAAAACAAGTTTCGACCAAAACTCCAACAATTTTGAAAGAAAAACTTTAAATAACATTTTCTTTTAAAAAGTTTCAACAATTTTTCAGGATAAATGTTCAGTCATTCCAAGCTAATGTAAAATATTTTCTCAACTTTTTCCTGTACCTTTTACCTTTTCCATTGAACATTGAATAAAATGTTGACTTTAAAAAGATGTAAAGCTTTCCATTTACATGCTTTTTATTTAATTACCGCAACAAGAGATGAACCCAAAAGCTAGACTCTTCACTTGCTCAACATCAATTTTTTGTGTGATCTCGACAAATGTTTCCACATTTATATTTATTCATGTTCAACTTGCAACTGCATATTTATTGCAATTGAAACTTTCCATTTGAAACAGCCTCTTTCATCAACCTGACGATATGAAAATACATGTCTCCTCAGGGAAGTTTTATTAATGGTGAACATCATTATTTCATCCCATTTCTTGCTTCAACCAACATTCCCTTCAGAATGTTTCCTTTTGCTAATATTTCCTCGCCAAGAGTTTACTGTCTAACAAAGCTGCTCACCTATCATTTCTTTTGTTACTTTATCGGTTCAATTGCAGACCCAAAACCAGTTTCATACCATAAATACTCTCCATATCATATCATCACAGATAAAATGCATAATCATCCGTAATACAAGCATTTCCCTTGGACTCTAGTTGCACAGTGAATAGCATTTATGGAAAGCAAATAGAAGGAAAAATAAGAAGCAAAAGACTCAATAAATGGTAACATGATTCTTCTTCTGATTCATTCAGTCTGAATAATATGCATACTTGGAAGCAACAAGATGAAGAAGAAAAAAAACAAGATACAAACGCGAAACACAAAAAGAAACATTGATCGAGAAAACATTAAGACATTAGTTGATAAGCGAATAAGTATTATTAACAGCTAATCCACTTTGAAATACTTGGGTCAAGTACATCTTCATATTTACACTATTGATTACTCAATTTGTAATGGCAAATGACTTTTGTCGAGTTTATCATAAAAGTCGAGGAAGATGGTTATCTGGAAAAAAAGGGTGAAAATTTGGCGCCCAAAATTACGATTCTCTTTTTGATGATGAAAATCAAAGTAAATTGAACAAGAAAATTGAGTCTCGACTGGGAGGGAAAGGAAAAGATGAGGAATAATAAAATATACAGAATGCATTATAATGCATTATTGGGATCAAAGTTTTGTGTTGCCTGAATAATGGCTCCTTTGAGGAATACAACTCAATAGGCAGAAAGATATTTTTTTCAAAATAAAAGAAGAAAAGTGTATTATTATTATCATTATTATAGATTAGAGCGGAAAACGGAAGTAAAGAATGTCCTTTGCGAATAATCCATTCTTATTCCAATCACTTTCCTCTCTTGCATCTTTTTTTCACATTATTTTCATAGAAACATCAACAAGATAACTACAATGTTGATCGATTTCATGTATGACCATCAAGTCATTTTTAAAACGATATTTGGCTCACTTTTCCAGACATCATTAGTCAGCATCATGTTACTGGTAATTTCAATAATGTACAGTTCGTTTTACGTTAATTTTATTGAAATGAAAAGGACAAAATAGCAAATCGACTTTTAATATCGAAATCGGTTCAAACCGTTAGTTTGTGTACTCAAAGGGAGCTCATTGGACAAATTTAAAAATTTCAAAAAATTGGAAATTTTTTCATAGCAATAATAAAAGAATTATTAGAATCGAGTTTCTGGTTCAAATCATCTTCTGATCTTCTCTTTTTACTCTATGACGAACCAGTTTCGAGTTTGAAGCCCATCGATGAGCAAAGTTAAAGGAGAGTTTCATTAGAAGAGTTTTTACAAGGAAAATATTTACAAAGAAAGGAAATATCTCATTCTCTTTTTCATCTTTTTTTGTCAAGTTTTCTATCACATTGTTCTACACACTATTGATTTTGACCCGTTTTTGTTAACTTAACCCTAACACCTATTGTAGTACTTAAAGTGATAACTCGACATTAGTTTTCATATTAAGTACTTGAAGTTAGTACTAAAAATTAGTGCTTAAAATGAGATCTTGATTTGAGCGCTCAAACTGAGCCTTCAGGTTGAGATTTAGGTTGAGTCACTCCATTCGAGATCAAACGAGAATATAAGGCTTAGAACAGTTCAACATTCAACTCGTGACTAACATTGAGCAACTTTTCACTCCCCATCAAGGGAAAGAGAAAATTAATTTGCAGCATTTTCAGGGAATGTCGATTAATGAAATTGTATTAATAACAATCAAAATAACCTGACGAAATGAGAATTGTTCCTCTTTCATTGGCACAGTTTTCGATTCGCAATTATCGTTATTCGCACAATACAAAATTATCACTTTTGTGAGTTGTTTTTTCGAGTTTTCCTTTATTCCAAATTGCTGGCTATTTTTCATGTTATTAATAACATTGAAAGTATCGTAAAAATGTTTCAAGAGATAAATGATGAAGATGAAAATGATCAGTTGAGATGAAAAATTTTCACCAATCTCATGTAATGTTGTGTCCATTAGGTGAAGTTACTGATTTCTTTCCTTCAACCTCTTCTCCTATCAAAACCATATTTGGCAATGAAAATGATAGAATGATGAAGATGAAAATGATGGCCAGCAAAAGTAAAGGTCAAGAGTTTTCTCTTTCTAATAGACTGTCCAAGTATATTCTTTTGGATTAACCGTCAACAATTTAATCAATAGATCACAGTTAAATCGAGCGAAAAGGTTGATTGCCATTTCATATTTTCCCTCAACTTTTCTCTGCTTTCCTTTTCTGGTTACATCTTTTTCTTGGTTTGCCAACCTTTCTCCATTCAATGAACATTTCATTAGTAAAAACCTTTGTAATAATATCAATTACACTGCAACTCGGAGAAACCAGTAAAATCATGATTCAGAATTGTTATTATTCCATCATTATCATTATCGATGTTATTGTTACATTTCTTATTCCTTTCCATTTGCCGTTCATTATAACCATTTAGCACAAAATTTAACCTCCAAATGATCGACGCAACAATTTATTCCTTCCCTTTACCATCAACAATTGATTCTTGTTTTCACTTTGGCTAATTATTAACATTTTTTTATCATCGTTTCGCTTTCTAATATTGTAATGATTCGATATTTCTCTCTCTTCTCTCTCCATGATAATCACAATAATTACATTTTATTCACTGAATTGTTGCCAGAAAACAAAAAAAAAGGCAATTTTCATCTCTTTTCGCAATAAAAGTGATTATAATATTTTCTAATCTATTTTTCATATTACACAGTAAACTCAACGAACCATGATATAATCACTATTGCATATAAAATAGTCTCTATTGATTAAATGCTAACCCATATGCTGATAATTGCCTGTAAACTCTAAAGATGTTATTCTTGTTAGCCAATTAATCTGATTTGTGCAACACTTTTGGAGCAAACTAAACAATTCCAATGAAACCTAAAAATCAATTTCCAACTCTAACGAAAATAGTAAAATCAAATCTCGAATAATTTTTATGGTAAAAGTGAACCACTTTTAATGATTAAATATTGCCTAGTCTTTGCTATCTTTCAAGCCTCAGATTGTGGTCAATTGTGATTGATGTTATTATTCAGTAAAATGATTCTTATGCAAATGAAATCAATTTTTTATACTTTTCAGTAAAATTATTCATTATTTTAGTT